ATATGTGGTACCCATGAGCTACTGTTGCGTGTGGGAAGTGGGTGATTGAACAGTACGATTCATGTGCTTTCTACTTCGCCAGAAATCTTCGACAGAATGCCCATAATTTCCGCAAAGCTGAGTGTGCGTGTGACAGGTGCTGACAAGGCTGGAAAAGTAGGTGCCTCTTCGATTTCAGAGATCGGCCCTCGTGGTCTCTGAGCAGCCCAGCTTTTGAGAAAGCAAGCCTCTTCGATTTCTGAGATCGGCCTTCGTGGTCTTTGAGTAGCCCAGCTTTTGAGAAAGCAAACGCCTCTTCGATTTCTGAGATCGACCCTCGTGGTCTCTAAGCAGCCCAGCTTTTGAGAAAGCAAACGCCTCTTCGATTTCTGAAGCTTCGTCGAGTGCAGATTTTTATAGGGGCTGACATTAAGTTCCAAAGCACACTTGAATATCCACCAGTAGAAGCTCCATTCTTGCACTTCTAAGATCTTGATTTGTCCGACCTCTTCTCTCTTCAACACCTTTGAAAATGTCTGGCCCCTCCGACCGTCGTTTGTTGAAGAGGCAGCCCCGCCTTCTCCAGACAACATATGGCGCCCATCCTTCGTCTCCCCTACTGGTCCTCTTAACGTTGGGGATTCCGTGATGAAGAATGATATGACCGCTGCGGTAGTGGCCAGGAACCTTCTCACTCCCAAAGATAACAGACTACTTTCCAAACGGTCTGATGAGTTGGCTGTTAAGGATTCTCTGGCTCTTAGTGTTCAGTGTGCAGGTTCTGTGTCTAATATGGCCCAATGCCTATTTGCTCGAACCCGCCAAGTTGAATCATTAGCGACTGAAGTGATGAGTCTCAAACAGGAGATTAGAATGCTCAAGCATGAGAATAAACAGTTGCACCGGCTCGCACATGACTATGCTACAAACATGAAGAGGAAGCTTGACCAGATGAAGGAATCTGATGGTCAAGTTTTACTTGATCATCAGAGATTTGTGGGTTTGTTCCAAAGGCATTTATTGCCTTCGTCTTCTGGGGCTGTACCGCGTAATGAAGCTCCAAATGATCAACCTCTAATGCCTCCTCCTTCTAGGGTTCTGTCCAGTACTGAGGCTCCGAATGATCCCCCTCCGGTGCCTTCTCTTTCTGGGGCTCTACCGACTGCTGAGACTTCTCCTAAGCAACCTTTGTGAAGGCTTCCTCTTGTTTGTTTATTTTGACTCAAGTATATGTACATATTTGTAACTTATCGGGGATATCAACAATAAGCTTTCCTTCATTTCAACGTATTGTGTTAAATACACCAAAGCCTTCTTCGCTAAGTTCTTTGAATTTTCTTTTGTTGAAGCTTGTATGTTGAAGCTTTGTGAGTGGAGCATGTAGGTTGAGGTAGTGTTCCCTTAATTTCCCGAGTGAGGAAAACTTCTGGTTGGAGACTTGGAAAATCCAAGTCACTGAGTGGGATCGGCTATATGAATCTTAGAACGCCATTGTGTTCTGTCCTGTGTCATGTCCTCCGTTAGATCCAAGTACTCTAAGTCTTTTCTTAGGGTCTCTTCCAAAGTTTTCCTAGGTCTTCCTCTACCTCTTCGGCCCTGAACCTCTGTCCCATAGTCGCATCTTCTAATCGGAGCGTCAGTAGGCCTTCTTTGCACATGTCCAAACCACCGTAACCGATTTTCTCTCATCTTTCCTTCAATTTCGGCTACTCCTACTTTACCCTGGATATCCTCATTCCTAATCTTATCCTTTCTCGTGTGCCCACACATCCAACGAAGCATCCTCATCTCCGCTACACCCATTTTGTGTACGTGTTGATACTTCACCGCCCAACATTCTGTGCCATACAGCATCGCCGGCCTTATTGCCGTCCTATAAAATTTTCCCTTGAGCTTCAGTGGCATACGGCGGTCACACAACACGCCGGATGCACTCTTCCACTTCATCCATCCAGCTTGTATTCTATGGTTGAGATCTCCATCTAATTCTCCGTTCTTTTGCAAGATAGATCCTAGGTAACGAAAACGGTCGCTCTTTGGTATTTCTTGATCTCCGATCCTCACACCTAACTCGTTTTTGCCTCCATTTGCACTAAACTTGCACTCCATATATTCTGTCTTTGATCGGCTTAGGCGAAGACCTTTAGATTCCAACACTTCTCTCCAAAGGTTAAGCTTTGCATTTACCCCTTCCTGAGTTTCATCTATCAACACTATATCGTCTGCGAAAAGCATACACCAAGGAATATCATCTTGAATATGTCCTGTTAACTCATCCATTACCAACGCAAAAAGGTTAGGACTTAAGGATGAGCCTTGATGTAATCCTACAGTTATGGGAAAGCTTTCGGTTTGTCCTTCATGAGTTCTTACGGCAATCTTTGCTCCTTCATACATATCCTGTATATAGCTTGGATATATGCTACTCGTACTCCTTTCTTCTCTAAAATCCTCCAAAGAATGTCTCTTGGGACCCTATCATACGCTTTTTCCAAATCTATAAAGACCATGTGTAAATCCTTTTTCCCATCTCTATATCTTTCCATCAATCTTCGTAAGAGATAGATTGCCTCCATGGTTGAGCGCCCTGGCATGAACCCGAATTGGTTGTCCGAAACCCGTGTCTCTTGCCTCAATCTATGCTCAATGACTCTCTCCCAGAGCTTCATTGTATGACTCATTAGCTTAATACCCCTATAGTTCATGCAATTTTGTACATCGCCCTTATTCTTGTAGATAGGCACCAAAGTGCTCGTTCGCCACTCATTTGGCATCTTCTTCGTTTTCAAAATCCTATTAAAAAGGTCAGTGAGCCATGTTATACCTGTCTCTCCCAAAACTTTCCACACTTCGATTGGTATATCGTCTGGGCCTACTGCTTTTCTATGCTTCATCTTCTTCAAAGCTACAACCACTTCTTCCTTCCGGATTCTACGATAAAAAGAGTAGTTTCTACACTCTTCTGAGTTACTCAACTCCCCTAAAGAAGCACTCCTTTCATGTCCTTCATTGAAAAGATTATGAAAACAACCTTTCCATCTGTCTTTAACCGCGTTCTCTGTAGCAAGAACATTTCCATCCTCATCCTTGATGCACCTCACTTGGTTTAGGTCCTTTGTCTTCTTTTCCCTTGATCTAGCTAGTTTATAGATATCCAACTCTCCTTCTTTGGTATCTAGTCGCTTATACATATTGTCATAAGCCGCTAACTTAGCTTCTCTCACAGCTTTCTTCGCCTCTTGCTTCGCTTTTCTATACCTTTCACCATTTTTATCGGTCCTATCCTTGTATAAGGTTTAACAACATTCCTTCTTAGCCTTCACCTTTGTTTGTACCTCCTCATTCCACCACCAAGATTCCTTTTGGTGTGGGGCAAAGCCCTTGGACTCTCTTAATACCTCTTTTACTACTTTTCAATACAACTAGCCATGGAATCCCACATTTGGTTAGCTTCCCCCTCTTTATCCCACACACACTGGGTGATTACTTTCTCTTTGAAAATGGCTTGTTTTTCTTCTTTTAGATTCCACCATCTAGTCCTTGGGCACTTCCAAGTCTTGTTTTTTTTTTCTCACTCTTTTGATATGTACATCCATCACCAACAAGCGATGTTGATTAGCCACGCTCTCTCCTGGTATAACTTTGCAATCCTTACAAGTTATACGATCCCCTTTCCTCATTAGGAGAAAATCTATTTGTGTTTTTGACGACCCACTCTTGTAGGTGATCACATGTTCTTCTCTCTTCTTAAAGAAGGTGTTGGCTAAGAAGAGATCATATGCCATTGCAAAATCCAAGATAGCTTCCCCATCCTCGTTTCTCTCCCCAAAACCATGGCCACCATGAAAACCTCCATAGTTGCCTGTCTCCCTGCCCACGTGTCCATTTAAATCTCCTTCTATAAATAACTTCTCCGTCTGAGCAATTCCTTGCACCAAGTCTCCAAGGTCTTCCCAAAATTTCTCCTTCGAACTCGTATCCAACCCTACTTGAGGTGCGTACGCACTAATCACATTGATAAGTTCTTGTCCTATTACAATCTTGATTGCCATGATTCTATCTCCTACCCTCTTAACATCTACAACATCTTGTGTCAAGGTCTTGTCCACGATGATGCCAACACCGTTTCTCGTTCTATTTGTGCCCGAATACCATAGTTTAAACCCTGAGTTTTCTAGATCCTTTGCCTTACGCCCAACCCACTTAGTTTCTTGTAGGCACATAATATTTATCCTTCTCCTCACCATAACTTCTACTACTTCCATAGATTTTCCCGTCAAGGTTCCTATATTCCACGTTCCTAAACGTATTTTGCTCTCTTGAACTCTACCCTTCTGTCCTAGCTTCTTCACCCTTCCCCGTCTAATAGGATCAAAGTACTTCTTTTGTGTGTCTCGTGTAAAGTTGATAGGAGCATATGCTCCCAAACAACTTTGAGTGGAGTCGTTCGAAAAGAAGTTTTTATAGCCCCCTTGCTCATTTAACACTGCATCCGGATGCCGATGGAGATACAGCGACCCTTGCTCACTTATCACTGTGCTCGGGCCACACAGCACGCCACTTACGGGTGACGCCCTAGCTTTAGTGCGATTTCGTTCTGGATTCATTTTCATAAGGATTCGACGTAATCATGGAGTGCCGGCTGTCGACTACCTGACGCCCTCCCCCTCCTCCTTTATCTGGGCTTGGGACCGGCAATGTAAGATAAACTTACACGGCGGAGTTCAACTCATCTATGCGAACTCAACTCATCTATGCGAACTCTCTATTTTTAAAATTCAAACGTAAAACCTCTCACTTACAAATGAAGGAGAATATCACTAAATTGCAGTACTAAGTGGTCATTATAATGCATTACATACTCTAATGTTCATTTACCATAAATGTATCGTGTTTGCGTCGTATGAAATACTCCTAAACGTAAACCCAATTTGTTAACCACCAATACCTATAATTTATCATGCAAAATCTTATCATTTTATTGCGTTGTATATTACTATCACATCAACTTCTGACTTAGATGCATTCAATCCACGAAAATTGAAATTCACTTTGAAATTTGAATATTAATTTGGTACATGAAATAATTTACCAAACAAAGATTGGGTAAAAAGTGACTACAAATACAACCAAAGGGTAAATAATGTATGAGAACCAATACATCCTAAAATACACCTTGTATACCGTCAGAGGGAAGAAACAGTGATAATACATATCTCATGCAACTGCAGCCAATAACACAAGGCACAACAACAGTAGTAAGACTGGCTTTCTCGAAAATCAGCTGGCCTTCAGAGCAAAACTTACCGGGATATAGCTTCCGTATCTGCTCCGTAAAACAGGGTAAAAGCTAACGTTCATTTGAGCACGAACCATCTTGGCAATCTCATGACATGGTCCATTTTGATCTCTCCTCAGTATGGATTCCACAGTAACTTTCGAGTCATTGCAGGAGGGGCTAATCCAGGAATATCTGGAATGTTCTTGTTGTTTGGATGAACCAGCTGAAATTCAAGATAAAAAATAAAAAAAACAAGTTAACCATATATCCACCAGACAACATCCAACCATCTGAACTCAAGTTCCTAAACAGGAACTACGTTTCTCAGAATCGCTTATAAATATGAGAAAGTTACCGCACAAACTCTCATAACTCAAGTTATAAAGGTTCAAAGAAACAGAAGAAACAAATATTTCATGATCATAAGGCAAATTAGTTCATTGCCTAACTAGGTAACTAGGAAATTCAAAATCTACTTGAATCTGGAATAATGATTAGTAGGAAATTATGTCAGAAGAATACTTGCAACCAAGTAGAGACGTTCAAGTACACCTTATCGCTTCATTACTTGCTTTCAGAAGCAATGACTATACTTCCACAACATATGATATTATTTAATATTTAGAAAACGAAACTGCATTGAAGCACTGAAGGTGTTGTATGCAATTGAAGGTCAGGAATAGATCTTCAGCATATAAAAAGCGAATAATCTGAGTGCCTTCGGCAGCAATAAAATGAAAATGATGAGGGTAAAATAACAATACTTCTCTAGCATCTATCAGGCTACACTTTGCGTAACAAAATTAAGAACTCAATTATGTCGATGGAATTTAAAACACTTTGGAAACAAAACTAGAAGCAAGCGTGTTTCGTACCTTCACAATAATGATGGCTATGACCCCAATGACAATCAAGACAAGTAATCCCATAATACATCTATCAGTTGCAACCTAACAGGAAATAAAATGGGAAAGAAAGAAGTTCATAATGAGTAATAAAAGTAGCAAATATCATCAACATACGAAAAAAGCAAGTGGATAATTCAGAAATTGACCTGCCTACCAATTTCCTTGACCAGCTTAGAAGCTTTCTTGATTGAGAAATGAATAGAGTCCAGCTCGTTGACAATCCTGCTCATTTGTTCAGTCTAAACATGAAAATAAAAAAAATAAAAAAAATAAAAATTAGTTACCATGCCTCTGCAATTTTTATAAGGAATATGAGGAAATACAATTGAATACTAATTACTTGAGCCTTGAGAGCTTGTGTTGTCTCTGTTCCAACATTGATGGTTTCATGAACAACCTATTACAAACAGGAACACATAGAAAAGTCATACTCGAATCATTTTTAACAACGGATAAGAGCAGGAACAAAGTTTTTCTTCCAATAATCAAATTGATATTTTCCAGATGCACGCACCTTTTTTGATCTCTCAATGGCTTGATCTGTCTCATTCATCATTTGGTTTCCATTATCCATAAGTTGTTGATTCGTCATAGCTGTCAAACATATGGACTCTGGTTAACAAGTAACTCATGTAGAATATATGTTTAGTGTCTTTCAGGTAACACAACATGGCATGATTTGTTAGTTGTTACATCAAGCAGAGTTTCTGAACGTTTAAGAAAATGCATCAATCATTTTCAGCATTGCATCTAAACAAAATACTAGTGTCAGAATTATTACCTGAATGCATCTCTCATAGGAACTTCTCTAAACATTAATATGCATTACTTTTTCTTTGTGATATCAAGTGTAACCTCTAACTCTATACCAATTATTCAGTCCTTTGTAATTGATAGCCAGAGGCATATATCCATTATGCAGTTGCTGTTTTCAATCGTGAATTACTGCAATATAACTCATTCCATACTAGGTAGGAAATCGTTTGATAACACTTCTCACTATTTCTTAATGTTTTAAGTGAACATAGATTGACAAGTACTTTGATAGAGTCAAATTTACCTGTAACTGATTTAATGAACCTCCAACTTGTGACAAAGCATGTACATCAAGACCACCAAACCAATTATATAATGCAACCAAACAAATAGAGGAAAAATTGTAAAAGGTTGTATGTGGTATCCCTTTGAGCTTCAGAGAGAGAGAGAGAGAGGATCTACGTAAGTAAACATTGCATTTCAATCAGTGTCTCTCAAGTTTCTATTTTCTTCTCTCCACATCAACCATGCAGGATGTTATGGCATCCACTATATATTTGTATGAGTGTAAGTCTGTCAGTATGAGTGAGTGAGGGTATGTGTGCATGTGCACGAGCATGTGTGTGAGCGCTATATGTAAAACCATAGAATATTAGCGGATGGGTAATATGTTGATAGTGAATTGTTAAGCCCATAATTAGTGCAAAAGTATACAAGGCCAGATTGCATGTTAACATGCTTACCCGAGGCTAGCAAGACATTTTGTTCCCCAAAGTCTTCTGCCGGCCCATCAAAGAGATCAATTTTCTTGTTTTCAAGGTTTGATGCGTATCTGTACCAAAGGCACACCAAATGTTTCTATAAAATTATTATTATTAGAAAAAAGATATATCATCAATTAAAAAAAAAAAAAAACCAACTTTGACCCAAGCATAAACCAGTACTTTGAGCATCCAATGGGACAATTTCAAGAATAACAACAACAAAGCCTTTTTCAAGAATAGGACGGAGACATGTTCATCACTACATCAGTCTAAAAAACATCCACGTTAAATATTTGGTAAATATGGGAACGTTGGATAATCATATGTGAAATAATAATTAAGACTCAGAAAACAAGGTGTTTTCTAACACAGGTATTTCATTCTCCAAATTGATATGTAATGAACCTATATATCAACGAAATATCATTTATGTAAGCCTGGGGTAATAGATGTCAAAGTCAGATGGATACAATACAGTTCATCCACACAAAAATAACTAATATAATGTACACTTAAGAAATACCCAACAAGGCAAATGAATTGGGTATTTCTGCTAAGAATCAATGAATGTAATTTCTTGCTGATGCTAACTTACTGTTTCTTCAGAGCCACATATGAATTCAACTCTTTGATCTGCACAAAAGTTCAAGCTATTAACACAAGTATAACTTGTTAAAAACAATTAATATACACAAGAAGATAATTAAAACAAAGGAAATTAGAAAAGGAAAAAAAAAAGTAAGCATAGCAGAGTCTGGAAATGAAATAAGGATTTAAAACACACCATTGACTGCTTTTTCTCATTCAGCATTCTACTGGTATTTGGGTCATTTATTCTCTCCATATTCTTGACTTCTCGATCAAATTCTTTGATAAGCCTGAAAACAACACAACATATAACCTTATTCACAAGACACCCAAATTGATGAGTGTCACAGGTTTGAATTCAAACATCAGAAAGAAGTTGAGTTGGATAACCGCAACTCTTACAAACGAAGGCCAGAAAATCTGAAGGCAGGAAACCCCATATGCTGGCCAAAACAAATAAACTAAGCACAGATCCATAAGATTATAGCATTTGTTTCTCAAATGACATGTCAACACAAATAATACATTAGTATATGGAATTTAGGTGTTTAGGTAACAGATACTATTGGGTAGAAAAGTAAAAAGGTAACCAAGAAAATCCAGAGGTCTACATAAAAGGAACGAGTACTGAATTAATATGCATATCTGGGCATAAGAAGCAAATAATGTTCATTGCTGGTCACTTGGTCAGTGGTCACCAATCCCAAACATGACATTAGACAAGATATTTCCATCCCTTACATAAAATGGAGCAGGATGCAACTAAATGTCAGCTTAGTTGCACTTTATCACATTTTCAGCATTAGTCACAAATTGTATAAATATTCCACTCCCAAGTATACTATTTTTTTGTCGATACAAATTTTATTACCAAAAATGGATAAACAATCATAAAAAGACATTTAAAATGGAACAAACAAAACTTTCCCCTGCCCTCCAAAATAATGGCATCCCCCCAATCTGAAAAGGAAGAAACAGGAATTTCGCAAAATTCTGAAGGAACCTGAAGCTCAAAGTAATGATTAAAATTAACGGTAAACCTCCGCATCTCCCTAATGTTATCGCATATTGTCTAATTTATTACTGGCTACACCACCCAAAACACATCCATCACCCAACACCTCCGTAGGCCTACACACTCTTCTTCCGTCCCCCAAATGCCTTGTGCTCACAAAATAGTGCCATGAAAGTTGCCGGAATTAGGCAGCTTAAACAGCCTCCCAAAGGACCCAAACAATATCCACCCCCTATTTAAGGCAAAATAGTGCCATCCATGTATACTTCTATATACCTCAAGAAAAAACATTCAGGTAAACCTCTCTGAGTATTGAGCATCTTTCTATTCTTCAGAAACAACTTCTCAGTAAATAAATTCAATCACAAACCAAAAATAAAATAAAAAAGATCCTCTAAAAAGTTCCTTTCTTTATCATCATTTAGCTTATGAATATAATTTGAGGAAAATCATTGATTCTAACTTCAATAAATTCAAGTCAAATCGAACCCTTAAACGTGAAAAAAGCCAAGTATAAATTCCTGCATCAAGATCTAATGGAGCGTAGTGTACTGAAACTCATTTATTTCTTGGCCAACTTCTTGATATTAAAGCTAATTCAATTGCATTACCTTCAATCACAGTCAAGAACCCAATTTACCATTCAATAACTGGCAGCACAGACATTCACCAACTTATGAAGAAAATTGAATTGAAAATTAACCCACACTAAGTGGACGATAAATAAAGAGGATAAAACGGTAGAAAAAGAAAAAGAAAAATTAATACCTCTTACAGTCTCGCATCTTGTCAGTGAGCTCTTCCAGCTGCCTACTCTGCCTATTCGAGTCCTTAATCTTCTCCAGCTTTTGAAACCCATTTCTGCCATATATCCAAACACTAGACTATTAGAGCCTGTAACCTTCAGGAACCACAAAATACTCAGAAATTCGATCCAAAGCAAAGCCAAACAGATGCTTACGACAATGCACGGAAGATATCGGCGATTTGTCCGTCGATCTCCGCCAGCTCTTCGCTGATTGCAGATAACGGATCCATCTCTCCAACACAAAGCAATCAAATCAAATCAAATCAAATCAAATCCAATCCAATCCAATCCTTCAGATCATCACAAAGCTCACAGATCCTCAGAAATCTCCCAATCAAATCCAATCGGCTTCGAACCGCATAACCGAATCGAATCGAAACAAATGCTAATACAAAGAATCAAATCGCATCCAAAACAAATCGAATAAAAAAAAAATTAGAAATGCGCGATGGGATCCGGGGCAATGTGGGTTACGATGGGGATCGGAGGGTTGGATTGGAAGTGGGAACAGTGTCCCCCCGATCTGAGAAAACTCTTTCTTTATAATCAAAGAGCTTCCTCCTCGTGATTTACAGAGACAAAACAAATTATTTGGAATTTTTTTTATATTTAATTTTTGTTTTTGGTGGGGGAGTCTGGAGAGATGATGAGAGAGAGAGAGAGAGGGAGAGGGAGAGGGAGGAGCGCGTTTAAAATTTACGCCAAAACATTTGGCCGTTTTGAAACGCTTGTTGGTTCGTTAGGAAGGAGGGGGGTGGGACCCCTATCCGGAAAGATAAAACGCGTTTTTGTGCCGTTGTATTGTTGTAGCCCGCCGGCGGTAGTTTTATGCACAGAAGTCGCAACGACAATACTCCAATGTTTTTCTTTCTCGGTTGGAACTTGGAGGGTTTGGGTTGGGAGGGGTTTGCTACAATTTTATTGATGCATGATACGATTCTTACAGTATAGGAAAATCTCCTCTTTTTTCTCGAGAAGAAACGATAGTTAATTTATACATTGTTTGTACGACTAAGAAAAAATGTTTACGATAGATTCCGTTAGACTCCATTGTGAAAAATAGCAATGGGTCAAGGCAGTGGTAGGTATAAAACTAATGAAAAGAGTTTGAAAACTTTGAGTTTTAATGATAAGAACAAAATAAAGGGTAAAATGAATTGTACCAGGATTGACTTTTTAGTGTAAAAATATGGTTTTTCGTTAAAGTGAACAGTACCGAGTGTTTTTCGTTAAAGTTCCCATATCATTATCGTCCGCATTCCAATTAGGATTTTCCCTTCATACCCGTAAGTTTCAAATCAAGGATTCCCCATCCCCACTCCTAATGGGGAACAGCTTCCCTGCCCCGTCCCAATTTAATTTGCGGTGATAGGTACATTACTATGTCTGCTTCATAGGAAGGATGGATGGCCTCAAACTATTTGTGTAGGGACATTGAGGCAAGTATGTAGGTGCTCATTATAGAGAATGAATTCGTTGAACACAATCAAACGAGAGTAATTGCATGAAGTTCTACATGCATGTCAAGCAAGCAACTCTACAAGTTCAAATTATGCACGTAATCCTTTGACCTGAGACATCATAATTGTCTTAGGGATACATTGCTGATCAATTGACAAGAACACATGACTGTGGAGCCAAAAATAATCAAGAGGCGACACGTGGATTTTTGGGTAAAAAGGAGAAAATTACCCTCGAGGCACATCGAGATTTCTACGTGCGAGCAGCGGGCAATCATCCCTCAACCAAGTCAAAAGTGCCTAAAATAGGTATTAATTCAAAAACTATTCCATCCATCCTCATCAAATCTTCTCCACAAGGTAACCCCCAAATCATTACTTTTTAATCATACTAATTAGCTAACTAATTGATTTATTATTCCAATAATTTACTAATTAGCTACAAATCAAGAACCTAACCCAAAAAGCCATCCAAGTGGCCGGTCCCTCTCCTCCCAAGGGGGCCGACCACACCTCTATATAAACACTCTCATTCTCTCCAAAACTCAATTCCAATTCTCTTGCTAAACTCTCTAAATTCTCCAACACTTTTTCCTCAAAATTCTAACTTTGGCATCAGAGGTTCTTCGACCAAAACGCCGCCCCCTCCCCCCCCAATTCATCGTGGGCGAGTGAGGTTCTTGGCCTTGACCTAAGGTGTTATTTGTTTTGTAGGTGCAATTTTGTCCAAGAACAAGGAGGAAGAAATTTGCATCCACAAATTGGTGCTTTCATTTAGAGTTGAGTCACACACTTGTAGAAGACTCTCGCATCTAAGGTTTCTTGTTTTTTTGTCTATTTGTAGATTTTTTGTACGTTCTTATTCTAGGAATTTTTATTTCTAAAAATCCTTTGATAAAACGTGAAAGAAAAGTACAATGGCAAGAGATTCGGAAACCTCGACGAACGAAAATTTCAACGTTCAAAGATTAGGACCGCGACGATCTACAAGGCTCAACATAGCGATGAGTGGAGCGACACCCCCACGAGGCACCACCGTGGCAACCACCATGGTGGCCACCACGACAGCCATCCATGGCAAGGTTCATGGCACCACAACCACAGCCTGAGCCATGCCACTTCAACCTTCAAGGGCCCAAGCCCTAGCCAAGCCGGCCTATGCCGCCCAAACCCAACGTGAGCCCAATGCGTTGCTAAGCCAAGCCCAAGCCTCGCACCCGTGTACGCCACACGCCGAGCAACCCACTCCTGGGGCCTAGCCTGCTCCAATGGTTTCCTAAGCATCCCAAGATTAGTCCAACTATCCCGGCTTCAAATTTCAAGACCTACAGTTAAGCTAGGGGCATCTTCATCACATTTCTCTGCGGATTTGACATTTCCCAACTCAAATCTCACGCCCAAAGTTTACCACACTTCCACTGCTTAAAGAGGCGCATTCCTTCCAAGCTCTTCCAATCCGAATGGCGAACAACACTTGTCTCGACAAGTCATAGAGTTGACAAGCGCCCTTACACAACAAACGACCTTGGTGAATCAACTTTTACAGCACACCAAGATCCAATGTGCCCTAGACGAGGTGTCCCGAAGTAAGACAAAGGCAGACGAGGAACCTTTCTAGCAACGTCTCGGCAAGCAGCCACTCAACCAATCATGAACCGAGCATCCATGCAGCTTACATTCCCAATTGGGCCCCCGAGATAGCATATACTCCCGTCTTAGCGCGCAGAGGAGCATGCATTCTCGACTAGGCCCACAGACGAGCATACACTTACGGTTAGGGCCATACTCTGGTAATCAACATGAGTAGCCTTCCAGGCGAAGCGTTTATTCGTGGCTAGGCCTGTAATGAACATCCTCCACATCACATCAGAGTAGGCAGCACGAAGGACGGAGAGAAGCAGTCACTCAATTCGGCTCAAGTTCGATCAACAGTCTGTGAAGATTTCCTTGCCTGCTAGGAACGGACCGCATGCACCACCGCTGCGGTATGGACGAGCCGAGCACATAGAAAAGCAACCTAGACCAGCAAGTTAAGACCGGGGGTAGCCGAGAGCTCTACTACCCCAATAAAGGAAAATTCAGGAAGAGGTGGATAGGCTCTTAAACGAGCGATTGCATGATTTCCAACACAATGAGGTGGCTGATGAAGTGTTACAACAGGAGATGACCAACATGAGTAGGTCATTCTTCACAGACGAGATCAAGCAAGCAGAGCCTCTACGTAAGTTTAGCATGCCACATTTGACATTTTTCAAATGAGATGAAGATCCAGAAAGACACTTAAAACACTACCGAAGCATAATGGTTCTTTATCGGAACAACGATGCCTTTATATGTAAAATATTCACCACCACTTTACAAGGCGAGTCGCAAGATTAGTTTCACACCTTACCATCATGATCCATTCGGAGTTTTGATGATCTTTCCTTGGTTTTCACCAAAGAATACTCATCATATCGCTCGATCAAGAAAAAGTCTGACCACTTGTTCAACATGAAGAAGAACATAAAGGAATCGCTCCGCAACTATGTGAAGAGGTTCAAAGTAGAGAAGGCGAAGATTGTCGGATGTGACGACTCGATAGCAAGTGCAACCTTCCAAAAAGGACTCCAGTAGGCCACTCACTGTTTAGAGAACTGATCATGAAAGAAGATCTAACTCTGGCAGACTCTTTCGCTATGGCAGAGAGGTATGCACTTTGGAACAAGGCTCGACGAGCAGACAAGGCACCCAAACAACCTCGAAAAGAGTCGGCAGTGGCTCAAAAGAATGAGGATGAGAAGTAGTCCAGCAAAAGCAGGCAGGAGGTGAAGCGTAGGGTCCGACCCACGAACAAAGAAGGCTTGACGACCAAGAACTACTCTAAGTTCTCAATCCTGATCCACTAAAACCTTCGCAACATCAAGAACGAGTCATGGTTCAAGCTGCCGAAACAATCAAATGGAGATACTTCCAAGTTGGAGCACACTAAATAATGCACATTCCACCGAGGTCCCGGTCACACAACAGACTACTGCTACACTTGGAAGAACTATCTAGAGAAGCCCGTGAAAGAATGCAAGGTCGACATATACTTAGACAAGCCAGCTGTGCAACCTAGAAGGAATGCAGACGATGACGAAGAGCGCCAACCTAAACGATTCAAATCAGTGGCATTTTCGTTGAATCTGAGCATTTGGGGGCCATCAACAACTCCAAAAAGAGAAAGATTCAACGGGCTCTACTAGTCTCACAGGTCCAAGCAGTCGACACCCAACCTGGACCCATCATTGGCTTCACCAAGCAAGATGCATCAGACATCAATTTTCCACATGATGACGCACTAGTAGTATCTGTCTAACTAGCCCATGTTATAGTCGACAAAATGATGGTTAACAATGAAAGTGCAGTCAACCTACTTCAACTCTCAGTCATTCAGAGGATAGGCCTGGAAACACAATCATACACCGAGCAGAGGTACTCACTAGATTCAACAAGCACACCTTGACTGCCATCGACCACATCACACTTGACGTGAAAACACCATCAGTTGTCTCAAAGCAGATGTTCACAATCATAAGTGACCCATCTCCCTACAATGGGATTCTTGGGAAACTTGGCTGATCAAGATGGATGCTATCACTTCCGTTAAGTATCAAAAGATCTGATTCTGCATTCTTGGATGAGGAGTCGAAGAGATCAAGTCTGACTAGGCCACATCTCGACGATGCACTATGCAAGTATTGAATGAGTCAAAGAAGAGAACCTTTATCCTTGTAGAGGTTATCGAGGTCCAAATGGACGAAGAAGCTACCAAATAGCAATTACAGCAAGCAGATCAAGAAGATGGCACCCAAGCAAACGAGATAGGATGGAAACCCCAAAAAAACACCGAATACATCATTCTTGATCCCCAACAGTAAAAAAAGACAGCTAGAATCGACTCACGTCTAAGCCCAGCCAAGAAGGAATAACTCACAGCTTTCCTTAAGGAAAACTAAGACATCTTTGCATGGTCACCTTCTGACATGCCGGGCATCGATCTCGAGATAACTTGCCACAAGTTGCATGTCAACCCCGCTGCCAAACCGGTGATCCAAAAGAAAAGACATTTCACACCCGAGCGAGTAGCGATCATCGAAGTAGAAATTGACAAGCTACTAAAAGCCAGATTCATAGAAGAGGTAGCACACTCAGCACGGCTTGCCAACATAGTGCTAGTTGTAAAGAAAGAGAATGGCTAATTGAGGGTTTACGTAGCCTACACCG